AGTATTCGCTCATACTTTGTACTCGTTTGACAACCTAGTGCAATCATCGCTATTTCGTTCCATTGCACCCGTAAAACGTGTTCAAGTTCAACAACACCTAAACGCGTGAGTTCGCCGAAAACCCACTCCAAAGAAATTTCGAATTGAAATTCCTAACTACAGCGCGCCTAACACAGACCCAATCATATAGACGACGAAATAACGTGTGAGAATTGAGGAATGAATGAGCTAGCACAAGGTTGGGTACAAGTAGGAAACCCTAGGAAACTGTACCCCATAGTGTCTACCCCAATATAGCCTACACAAGCTATATACTATGAGTTTGACACACCCCCATAGGCAAATTGGGGGAGAACAAGAGGTCACAAGACCAGTCAAGCAAAGCAAAGCAAGCTCAGGGTGGATCACAACGTCACCACACAATCCGAGCACAAGAGCAAGGCCAAAATGCCAGTTCACATGCAAGATCATATATAAAGGTAAACAAGCAAGTGCAGGTATAGAAAGATCACAGTACAGCAAGGTCAAGAAGTGAGCAAGTGAGGTCAAGTAGGCACAAGACCAAGCATCGTGCAGAAGCGCTGATGATCACAAGGCGGAAGTGCCTTGGTAAAGATATCAGCAGTGTTGGCCTCAAAGGCCACGTAAGCAAGGCGCAGCTCACCACGCTGCTGCAGCTCACGAGCAAGGAAGAGGCGAAGAGCAATGTGCTTCGTTCTCTGCTCCAGTCTGTGCTCCTGACACAAGGCCAGCATGGCCTTGTTATCTACGTACAGAACTGGAGGAGAACGAGGCAACTCTCCTAGGTCAGTCAGCAGGTAGGTGAGCCAGCGTAGCTCCTGTGCAGCCATGGCCCCCGCGTAGATCTCAGCCTCACAGCTGGAGCTAAGAACAGAAGACGAGCGGGTAGGCCGCCACGAAAAAGACCGGGAGCCAAGGCTGAAGGTGTAACCATGTGACGACCGCTGCAGAGCCTGGTCGTCAGCCCAAGAAGCGTCAGCGTGACCTGTGAGGACCACTCGACGTCGCCCTCCAAGCACTAACCCCATGCCCGACGTACTGCACACGTAGCGCAACACCCTCTTCGCTGCAGCCATGTGCTCTGGTCGGTGTCTCCCAGGAGCAACATAGCGTGCCAAAATGCTAAGAGGGTATGCAAGGTCAAGTTGTGTGCAGGTCATCAGGTACATGAGGCAGCCAACAAGCTCTGGGTACGGGCCACTCGGCTCTACGGACTCATCCGAAGGCAGAGCTGAGAGCGAGTGGCGAGTAGACAGAGGAGTGGCCTGAGGCGAGGAGTACGTGAAGTCGAAGCGCTGAAGGACCTGTTGCACCATGTGTGACTGAGTCAGGGTAATGGTGCGCTGTGCTCTGTCCCGGGTGATCTGCAAGCCAAGGTAGCTGCGCAGTTCACCCAGGTCTGTGCACGTGTGTCTCTTTTGCAGCTCGGACTTCACGTGGGCGAGTCCAGCAGTCTCAGCAGTGGCAAAGACCAAGTCATCGACGTACACGAGGATGTGGAACAGCGGCAAAGAGGTGTCGGTGCGCAGAAACAACGATGGGTCAGCTGTAGAAGGAGCAAACCCAAGAGCCGCAAGTGTAGTCCTCAGTGTGTCGTACCACTCATGGGGCGCCTGGCGGAGACCGTAGACTGGCCGCCGGAGGCTCCACTGGGTACCAGGAGAAAACGACCCAGTGAAGCCAAGTGGGTGGCGCAGCCAGATCTCCTCGTGCAGGCTGCCCTCCAAGAAAGCTGTCATGAAGTCAAGAGAGTGAAGCTCGTAGTCGCGCTGAGCGGCTATGTGCAGCAGCACCCGAAGAGTGGTCATCTTCGGGGTGGGAGAGAAGGTATGAAAGTAGTGAACTCCATGCCGCTGACTAAAGCCTCGAGCCACGTAACGCGCCACATGCCACTGACAATGTTCGCCCCAGATGGGGGAACCTCGTCGACGTAGATGCCTGTGGACTTCCAGGAAGCCATCTCTGCATCCATGGCTGACTGCCACTGAGAGGAGTAGGGACCCTGGATCACCTCAGCGTACGATCGAGGAGTCGAGATGTCTGGTGCATCCGGGTCTCCCTCAGGGGCAATCAGCGTGGACACAAGATGAGGCAAAGCAGCACCAAAACACTGGAACTCCTCCTGCCTGTCCTCAAGGACGTCCGTGCTAAGAGCACACCCACCCGCGACGGACGGAGGACAGACAGACTCGGACTCAGCAACAAGACTAGTGGCGTAGTCTAGACGACAGCGAGCAGCGAAGTCGACAAGCTCAGCCACTAAGGCAGACGCAGCAGTGGACTCAAAGGAAGGGTCAGTGACAACTATGGCCAGGAGACGCGTGACAGTAGGATTGGCAGCATGAAGAGAGTGAAACTCAGGGTCAGCAAGAAGAGGAAGAGAGGACTCTGGTGGAGACGGCAACTTGACACGCAGAGGAGCAGTGGAAGGACGCAGTGCCTTCTGGTGTGTGCCTGGGACCGCAGGAGGACGCGGACGCGGAGCACGATGACTAGTGCGAGCAGCACGAACAGGCGACGCAGGACGAGACGCAGGCTCACGATGCTCAGCAAGACCTCCAGTAGGACCAGTGTAGGGAGAAGAAGCAGGTAGGGGGGAGGCGGGCTGTAACTGTGACTGCGACTGGACGGGCTGTGGACACTTTAAGGGAGGAGCAGGACCCCCAGCGGCAGCACCAGTGCCAGCAGCACCTCCACCCCCAACAGCGCCAACTGCAGCACCCTCAGACGCACCAGCGCCACCAGAAACACCAGCGCAAACACCCCCAGCAGCTCCAGCTCCAGCAGCACCAACATCAGCAGGACCGGCAGCTCCAGTTCTGCTAGCAGCTCCAGCAGGACCAACTCCAGCAGCCCCAGTAGCACCCCCAGTCCCAGCAACTCCAGTACTGCCAGTACGAGCACCTCCTAGACCAGCAAAGAGAGTAGTACCTCCAGCTCCAGCAGCACGGCTCCAGCGCCGGGCAAACCACTCACGCAGCTCCTGTGGAGAGAGTGGCTCCCGCCTTGACGAAGCACCACCGGTGGCCACACGAGCAGACTCAGCGCCCCCAGGCTCCGCACCCCCAGGCTTTGCACCCCCATGCTCCGCACCCCCTGGCTTAGCACCTCCAGGCTCAGCACGTCCAGACTCAGCACCCCCAGGCTCAGCACCCCCAGACTCAGCACCCCTAGTCTCAGCACCCTCAGTCTTAGCACCTCCAGACCCGGCACCCGCAGGCTCAGCACCTCTAGCAGCACCAGAGTCAACAGCTACCTCGACACGCTCGACTGCGTCTACCTGGGACACACCTGACGGGGCAGGACCCTGAGGGGGGAGGGGGTCTACCGGGGGAGGACCTGGCGCAAGGAAGAGCGGGGGCGAGGGAAGGGGTGCAGTGCGGTAGGGGAAGAGACAGTAGTAAGGTACCGACTCGTCAAAGGTGACGTTCTGGGAGGACAGAACACAGCGAGAAGTGGAGTGGTAAAACTCCCAACCAGGCGCGTCAGGGGGGAAGCCAAGGAAGACGCAGGGAACCGCACGGGGAGACAGCTTGTCCGTAGACAAGTCGCGGACAAACGCCCAAGATCCCCAGACCCAAAACGCAGACGCATCGCCAACCTTCCCCGTTCACCGCAAGGTGGGGGAGGTCTCTGGCAAGGAGACCCCGGGCTGAAGGTTGAGCTGATGCGCGGCTTACTGAACCGCAAACGGCCACAGAAAATGGGGGGCAGCCGCATGCATCATGGACGTACGAGCTACGTCCATGACCATGCCAATGCGGCGCTCAGCAATCCCATTTTGCTGTGGAGAGGCCGGAAGCGTGAAGGTCTGGCGGATGCCCTGTGCACGACAAAAGGCTCCCAGACGGGTAGAGGAAAACTCCTCGCCTCTGTCAGAGTGCAGACGCAGAACAGGAAAGCCCGAGCCGAAACTCTCTCTGAGCTGGAGACGAGTTGCGCGGATCCAGCCGATCAACACCTCAATGACGTCACCCTTGCTGCGCAAGGGGAAGACTGTGGTGTAACGCGAGTAATCGTCAACCACCAACAGGAAGTAACGCTCGTGCCCCTGTCCACGGACGCGTGCGGGGCCCCACACGTCCATGTCGAGGGTCTGCAGCGGAGCCTCTGTCGGAGGAGTGAGGGGCGGCGCGTTGTCGCCCCTCGACGCAGGGGACGCAGGTAGGGCCAGGCCCCGGAGGTAGGGGAGGGAGAGACCGGGGGAGACCAGAGACAAGGACACGGGAGGCCATGCCTCGGAGACGAGGCAAGGAGGGGTGACCAAGGCGGTGGTGCCAAAGGAGAGTCTGGTGGGACAGGAGACGACACGAGCAGGGAGCAGACTCAGGACCAGACCTGGACGCTGCAGCAAACACCTGACTCGACGCAGCTACCTGGACAGACTCAGCAGCTGGAGGAGACTCAGTAGTAAGGGTGTACAGGCTCGACCCTGGCCGACGGGTGAATGTGGCCAAGTGTCGGCCTGTCCGAGCACACGTGCAGTGGGTCACCCGCTGACTCGCAGGAGTGAACTGGTCAACCCCCCTATCCTGTAGGTCCGCTCCACTCACCAAATTCGTAGAGAAGGAGGGGAGGTAGAGACCTGACAGGGTGCCAGAGGGGGCTGCCGGGCACGGTAAGACAGTGGAGAAGCTAGCAAGGACAGGACCCTTGGAGGGGTCCGCCAGGGAGACTGCAACCGGCTGACTAAGGCCTGAGCCGACGTAGTACCTGCGAGAGTAGACTCACCAGCACCTGGGGCAGCAGACGCACTAGCACCTAGAGCAGCAGCCTCACCAGCACCTAGAGCAGTGGCCTTAATGCGCGGGTCTGGCGGTACACACAGGTAACAGTCACCCTCAACACTTGTAGTCACAGCATACATGGCAGCGAGGATAGCATCATAGTCAAGATCAAAGATGGCAACCCCCGCCCTAGACAGATCTCCTCAGCGAGAATCTCTGACGCCTCAGGGAACTGGTGACGCCACACGTCCGTCATGCGGCCGAAGCAGCGCTGGGTGGAGTGCGGGCCACCGCACTGCTCACCAGCGCGGTCGCCGGTACGGAGGACGTAAGTGCAGGGACCAGTACCCCCATCGCGCTGACGCGCAGCGTACCATTCACGAAACTGCTGAGGGGATAGGGTCTCACGACCGCGTTGCTGCTGCTGGCGCGGACCACCGCCGGACCCACTCCTCTACGCATAGTCGCGACCAGCTCCACCGCCGCCGCCACCTCCGCCCCCGCCGCCTCCGCCACCGCTGCCTCCGCCACCTCCGCTCCCTCCGCCGCCACCGCCACCTCCTCCGCCTCCACTGCTGCCACCGCCGTCGCCACCCCCGCCACCACTCCCACCACCACCCCCCCCCCCCCTCCACTGCCTCCACCATCACCTCCACCGGCCTTGATAGCCCCTCCAGCGCCCTTGCCCCCCTTGCCCTTGCCGATGCGGCGTCTCCCGCTAGGGGCAGACGCAGCGCTGACCCCGTAGAAACCAACGAGGTCGGCAGCAGCAACAGAAGCAATAGAGGGCAAGAGGGGGGAGGGGGAACACCCCTCAAAGACGGGGGTGCGAGGGTCACCACGAGAGGCTCCTACAGCGACTATGCTCTTCCCTGCTGCTAGGAGGCCCTTCTCGAGGAGGTCAACGGTGAGAGTGGTGGGGCAAACTGAGAGGAAGTGGTCCCTGACTACGCGGAGAGAGTCAGGGAGCCGGGTGACTATGTAGTAGAGGGTGATGTACATGGGGGGGAGGGGGTTCTTGGCGCAGACTTCAGCAGGAAGTGCAGCGCGGTAGCGAGTGTCACTAGTGCGGAGGTGCGTAATGAGGTCAGCGACTTTGGGAAAGGCAGCAAGGTCAAGGAAGAGGTATGGTAGCATGAGGCGGCTTAGTGCAGCAGTGGCAGGGGAAGAGTAGCGTGCAACTACAGCGTCATACAAGGTCTGAGCACTCTTGTACTGGCTAAAGTGTGCACGCTCAGTGGTCGGTAAGTGGCGACGCACAGCAAGACGGGCAGCAGCATTGCGTGTCGCCCACTGTGAGCGAACAGTGCTGTCAGTAGTAGCAGGCGGGGCAGGGGAGGCACCAGAGGTGAGGTCGAACAGAGAGAGGCCGTCTGCCCTATGGCACTAGAGGAACAGCTGGAGGTCATCGACCTAGACCTCAAAGTCAACAGCACGGCCCTCAGTGTCAAAGGTAAGAACACTGGGGGTAGCCATGACTGTAGAGGTCTAGCAAGGAGTGGGCTCACCAGTACGAGTAAGTAGGGCCGGGGCGCATCGGTAGAACTGGTAGCGGCTCAGCGACTCGGCTGCTGGGCGGCTCAGCGGTCGGGTGCTGGGCGGCTCGGCGGCTCGGCTGCTGGGCGGCTCGGCTGTCGGGCGGCTCGGCGGGTCGGGTGCTGGGCGGCTCGGCGGCTCGGCTGCTGGGCGGCTCGGCTGTCGGGCGGCTCGGCGGGTCGGGTGCTGGGCGGCTCGGCGGCTCGGCTGCTGGGCGGCTCGGGTGTCGGGCGGCTTGGCTGCTCAACGGGAGTTGTGTGTTGGCCCCGTCCACGCTTGGGCGGAGCCGACTTCGTGGTGGGGTGTACGGAAGGTACAGCCGACTTGCAGCAGTGGGCAACGCCGACTTGGACGAGCTGGTCGACGGGGTTGGTCGACTTGCACGGCGCCACTGCAATACCGCCGACTTGGGAAGCCAGCGGCCGACTTCAACTGGTGGTCGGCGATGTGGCACGTCGACCTGGAAGTCGGCGCCGACTTGCAAGGTCACCGACTTGCAAGGTCACCGACTTGCAAGGTCACCGACTTGCAAGGTCACCGACTTGGGAGGTCGCCAACTTCAAGAGGTCAGTCTGGAAGTCGGCGCCGACGTAGAAGGGGCGTCGACCTGGTGACGCCGACATGGGTAGCTGACAACTGCACTAGTCGACCAGGAGTGACGTCGACCTGGATCTGGTCGACCGGAGGAGTGGTCGACCTGGTGAGGTCGACCTGGTGTGGTTGTCGACTTGGGAGGTCGACGAGCACATGCAGGAGCAGCTGGTCGACATAGTTGCCCGGTCGACCAGGATACCTGGGTGACGAGGTTCTGCGAAGGAGTGCGACGGTCACCCAGGCGAAGTTGGCGAGACCGACCTCCATGGTGGTATCCCGAGGTCGTCGTGGCGGATCAGAGGCAGTCGCTAGCCCGAGGTTGACGTGGTGTGTGCGCTGTGCAGGTGACGAGACTTTGCATGCCAATCATCTGCGCGCACCTGCAAAGCGGGTGCACTGCTGTCCTGCGTGAGCAATGCTGGCACACCGTCAACCTGCAGCGTTGGCAAGCTGTCGACTTTGCACTGCTGTAGCGTGGTCGACCAAGTCGTGCTGGAACGCGGTCGACCATGCTGTGCTGGCAGTCGACCAACCTGAATGCTGGCTCTGATGTAGTCTTGCATTGCCAACTTCATTGTACCATTATTGACAACCTTCTCTAGTGAAACTCTTGCCAAAAATTGCCCCGTGAACTAGCAAGCAGTGTGAGCACTAGGAAAACGTCTAAGGACCAACGAACGCAGACATCACACGAGCACACGTGCCTAGCCAGTACTCTAAGCTCCCGTTGTAGTAGTTATCTCCGCACAGCGGTCGGGTGCTGGGCGGCTCGGCGGCTCGGCTGCTGGGCGGCTCGGGTGTCGGGCGGCTCGGCGGGTCGGGTGCTGGGCGGCTCGGCGGCTCGGCTGCTGGGCAGCTCGGGTGTCGGGCGGCTCGGCTGCTCAGCGGCTGGGCTGTCGGGCGGCTCGGCGGCTAGGCGGCTCGGCTGCTGGGCGACTCGGCGGCTCTGCTGCTGGGCGGCTCGGTAGAGGCGGCGTCGAGGCTGCGTAGGAGGCGGCGTCGGGGCCGCTTAGGGGCGGCGACGTGGCCGCTTAGGAGCGGTAGCGGGGCCGCGGAGGGGCGGCGACGAGGCCGCAAGAGGGCGGCGACAGGGGCCGCTAGAGGGCGGCGACGCGGCCGCGAGAGGGTGGCGACGAGGCCGCGAGGGGCGGCTGCAGGGCCTCTACGGGCGGCGACGGGACCGCGAACAGCGGTGACGGGGCCGCGAGAGGGAGGCGACGGGGCCGCGATAGGGCGGCGACGGGGCCTCAAGAGGGCGGCGACGGGGCCGTGATAGGGCGGCAACGGGGCCGCGATAGGGCAGCGACAGGGCCGCGATAGGGCGGCGACGGGGCCACGAGAGGGTGGCGACGGGGCCGCGATAGGGCGGCGACGGGGCCGTGGAGGAGGAGGCCCCCGAGGGCGGCGCGACGGGCCGCTAGGAGGGCGGCGACGGGGTCGCGAGGGGCCGTGAGAGAGGGGGAGGGCCGCTGAGGGCGGCGCGACGGGTCGCTAAGGGGAGGGCGGCACACAGGGCGCGCCTCGGTCAGGAGCGACTCGATCTCAGGGCACAAAAAAAAATCGATGTTCAGTGGTGGGCCCTAGGAAGTTCCCACGAGGGAACCAGCTCTATACCATGTGAGAATTGAGGAATGAATGAACTAGCACAAGGTTGAGTACAAGTAGGAAACCCTAGGAAACTGTACCCCATAGTGTCTACCCCACTATAGCCTACACAAGCTATATAATATGAGTTTGACATAACGGACCGCCCTGCTTTTTAGTTTCGGATTCCTTTGGACAGTGGTTTTGACACCGTCTGGGCTTAGCCTGTGAAGAATTGAGGAATGAAGAAGAGAGGAGTTCACTAGCAAGCAGTTGAGTACATATGGGAAACCCTAAGTTGGGCTGTACTCACTATTGAGTACCCCACTACAGGCTAGACAAACATAACATTCTGACACACCCCCATAGCCAAAGTGGGGTGTAATCAGCACAATGAGCAAGCAAGCATAGAGCAAGAGTTCACAATAGCGAGCAAAGCTAGAGTCATTCACAAAGGGCAAGTGAGGAGGAGGAGGCGAGACTGTAAAAGGAGAGGAGATAGGAGGCGACGGCAGACACACGGGCAACAGGAGTCACACTGGCACAGCGGCTACCGGAACAGCGCTCCGGACTACTGGAGTAACTGGCTCCGCGGCTAAGACTAGCGGCAGACGAGCAACGGACCCACGGGTGCCTGGCACAGCTGGCTACGACTGGGCTACCGGAGCAGCGCCCAGGACTACTGGTGCTGCTGACGACACGACGACAACCTCCGTTCAACCAACCTCCTCCAGCTGCCCCACACCTCTCGACACACACCCCCTGCTCAAACCCTAGCTCCACACCCATAGCACCCCCCTTACACCCTAAACCGTAGGCTCACACACATCCACCTCCCTCAAAACCCTAGCTCCACTCCCACAGCACCCCCCTTAAACCCTAAACCTCAGGCTCCCACACATCCACCCCCCTCAGCGACAGCTGCAGCAGTGGGAGACGAAGGAGGAGGAGGAGCAAGGGAGACCACACACCCGTCACCCTCTAGTCGCCACCCCTAGACCCTAACACAGGGCAGGGCGGGACGGCGGGTAGGGAGGGGGGGGGGGGGGGGGCGACGCGCGGTCTCCCAGGGCGCCAAAACAGGCGGCAGAAGGGGCGATGCTCGCCCCCCTCCCCCAGGTCGCGCGGCCCCCGAAGGAGCCGCGACGAGCGACGGGAAAAGGGGGGGGGGGGGGGGGGGGGGGGGGGGGGGGGGGGGGGGGGGGGGCGGTGCACGTGCCCCCGGTGCGCCGCGGCTGGCGACGGGGCATGGCCGGGGCGGGGCCGGGGCCGCAAGTGGCGGCGACGGGGCCGCTGGAGGCGGCGACGGGGCCGCTGGCGGCGACGACGGGGCCGCTGGCGGCGATGACGGGGCCGATAGGAGCGGCGACGGGGCCGCTAGGGTCGGCGACGGAGCCGCTCGCGGCGGCGACGGGGCCGCTTGCGGCGGCGACGGGGCCGATAGGAGCGGCGACGGGGCCGCTAGGGTTGGCGACGGGGCCGCTGGCGGCGTCGACGGGGCCGATAGGGGCGGCGACGGGGCCGCGAAGGGGCCGCGAGGGGCCTGGAAGGGCGGCGACGGGCCGCGAAAAGGGCGGCGACGGGGCCTGGAAGGGCGGCAACGGGGCCGCGAAGGGGCCGCGAGGGGCCTGGAAGGGCGGCAACGGGGCCGCTAAGAGTAGCGCGAGGGGCACGCCACGGGGCGTGTCAAAATATCGAGCTTAATAGGTACTTGAGAGTTTAGGACGGCCTAGGCTTAGTAGCCTAGGCCAAGGAGATCGAGTGAGTTGTGCCAAGGCAAGGGTATCGAGAAAGTTGGAAATGGGTGTGTTCACTATAGGTTTGCAAGAACATATAGCATGTGAACAAAGAAGGTGCACCACCTAACAAAGTTTATAATAACTACACTAACTACAGCTACAAGCAGTTACATATATAAATTCTGACACTCCCCCATAACTGCCTGCAGCAGGAGTTTGTGCAGAACACAACCTGCAGGGGTACACAAGCAACAGCAACAGCAGGTACGGTAACAGAGTAGGTACAGCAGCAAAGGTACAACAAGCAATTCCTGCCACCCCCTTACCCTCTCCCCCCCAACCACAGGAGGGGCAGCAGGGAGAGTGAGGAGGCGGGCTGGCTCTGGCTGGTCACCCCATCCATCTCCTCACCCTCCCCCTCCCCCTCCCCCCCACACTGCTGCAGGAGCAGCAGAGGGGGGAAGAGAGGAGAGGTGGAGGGACGGCTGCTGGATGGTCTCACACCTGCCACCCCAGTGCCACTCCCCCAGCTCCCCCACACCCTCACACCCCCCCCCCCAAGTGGCAGCTGCAGCAGTGGGAACGAAAGGAGGAGGAGGGGAAGGGGAGCACACTACCCAACACTCCAACACCCGCCACCCCCATACCCTCCCCCCCACGGCTGCAGGGAGACGAAGGAGGAGGGGGTGGGCGGGAAGAAAGCCACAGAGCGGCTACATAGGGTCGGCGCAGGTAGGTCAGGGGCGGCTGCAGGGAGTGCAGGCGCGGGGTGAAGCACAGGCACCGCCGAGTGCGCCAGGGGCGGGTACTGGGCGGTTCAGGACACCGTCGCAGGCGCCAGGGGCGGTTTTGCGGCGGCTCAAGGGCATCGTCGCGCATGCCACGGGGCGCACGACGAGGAGAGCACCGTCGCGTGCCACGGGGCGCACGACGGGCAAGTTCAAGTTTAGGGCACCGTCGTGTGCCTCGGGGCGCACGACGAGCAGGGCACCGTCGCGTGCCACGGGGCGCACGACGGGCAAGTTTAGGGCACCGTCGCGTGCCACGGGGCGCGCGACGGGCAGAGAAGGTGTCACTCGCCACCCGGGGGCGGGACAAGACGAAAATCGCCACGCGCCCTAGGCGCGCGACCGGAAAAATAGCAGCGGAAGCATAAGGCGGGCCCACAGGCCAGGACGAAACACGCTCTGAATCCATGTCATAATATCGAGCTTAATAGGTAGTTGAGAGTTTAGGATGGCCTAGGCTTAGTAGCCTAGGCCAAGGAGATCGAGTGAGTTGTGCCAAGGCAAGGGTATCGAGAAAGTTGGAAATGGGTTTGTTCACTATAGGTTTGCAAGAACATATAGCATGTGAACAAAGAAGGTGCACCACCTAACAAAGTTTATAATAACTACACTAACTACAGCTACAGGCAGTTACATATATAAATTCTGACAGGGCGTGCCGAACACAGAGTAGCAGCGGAAGCAGTTAGGTGGGACCACAGGCCAGGAGCGTAGATGCTCTGATAGCATGTGAAGAATTGAGGAATGAAGAAGAGAGGAGTTCACTAGCAAGCAGTTGAGTACATATAGGAAACCCTAAGTTGGGCTGTACTCACCATTTGGTGCCCACTGCAGGCTAGACAAACATAACATTCTGATATAGCCCCCTCGTTTAATTCCTTGGGGTTTTCGGCATTTTCAACAACCCCTGTGGCCTGGGAAATTATGAACTTACTGTGAAAATAGGTAGTTAGGAGGTAGGTGCCATGGCTAGGAAAGCCCTAGTTGGGCAAGAATAGTTTAGGGAAAAGAGGGGTTGCACTAGCAAGCAACAGGATACATATAGGAAACCCTAAGGGGTTGTACTCGCTATAGAGTACCCCACTGCAGGCTAGAGAACAAAGATAACATTCTGACACACCCCCATAGCCAAAGTGGGGTGTAATCAGCAGAGCAAGCAAAACAGAACAAGCTCAGGGTGGATCACAATGTCACCACACATTCTGAGCACAAGTTCAAGAAGAAATAGTTTAAAGTTCACAATTATGAGCAAGGCTAGTGGTAGTCACAACGGGCAAGTGAGGAGGAGGAAAGAGACTATGAGAGGAGAGGAGGTAATGGGCAGCAGCTGAAGCTGCTGGCACACAGCGCAACTGGAGCAACTGGCACACGGGCAACTGGAGCAACTGGCACACTGGCAACTGGAGCAACTGGCACACGGGCTACTGGAGTAACTGGCTCCGCGGCTAAAAGTAGCGGCAGACGAGCAACGGACTCACGGGCGACTGGAGCAACGGGCTCACGGGCGACTGGCGCAACGGGCTCACGGGCGACTAGCACAACGGTCTCACGGGCGACTGGAGCTGCTGGCTTCACGGCGGCCACCCCCTTCAACCTCCCCAAACTATCCCACTCCCCCTGACACACACCCGCTGCTACACCGCTAGCTCCACTCCCCCTTCACCCCCCCTTAGTACCACTCCAACGGCTCCAACTAGTCCACCCCCCCTCAGCGGCAGCTGCAGCACAGGGAGACGGAGGAGGAGGAGCAGCAGGGAACAGCACACAGTGGCTTCACCCCCATACCCCTCACCCCCAAACCCTAATTCAGGAGAACGGGCTGTAGGAGGGGTGGGGCGCCTGTAGAAGCACGGGGGAGAGCGGGGAGGGCAGGGGCAGCGAGGAAAGGGCCGCCCACGGGCCTGGCACAGCCGCCCGAACCGCGCGCAGGCGGCCCAAGCCGCGCGCGGGCCTGGCGCAGCCCGTACGGGCCACGCGCGGGCCTGGCGCAGCCCGTACGGGCCACGCGCTGGCCTGGCGCAGCATACGGGCCGCGTCCGGGCCTGGCGCAGCCCTTACGGGCCGCGCGCAGCCTGTACGGGCCGCACGCAGGCCACGACGGGCGACGGGGGGCGACGCGGAGGTCCCCGTCGCCCGTCGCAGCGCCTCCCGAGGGCGACGCGCCGAGGGACGGGGCAGAAGCCCGGCGCGCGCCTCGGGGCGCACAGCGGGCAGAGAACCGCCGCGCGCCACGGGGCGCACGGCGGGCAGAAAACCGCCGCGCGCCTCGGGGCACACGGCGGGAAGAAAAACTGCCGCACGCCACGGGGCGTGCGGCACAGAGAGTAGCAGTGGAAGTTGCAGCGGAAGGAGCGTGGTGGGGCCCACAGGCCAGGAGCTTACTGCTCTGATCACCATGTGAAAATAGGTAGTTAGGAGGTAGGAGCCATGGCTAGGAAAGCCCTAGTTGGGCAAGAATAGTTTAGGGAAAAGAGGGGTTGCACTAGCAAGCAACATGATACATATAGGAAACCCTAAGGGGTTGTACTCGCTATAGAGTACCCCACTGCAGGCTAGAGAACAAAGATAACATTCTGACACTTACCTAGTTAGTTGCCAATGGGAAAAATAACCCCTATCGGATGGCAAGCCATTTGGGAGGCATCAACCCTTGCCTCATGGTGTTTAGGGTTGATGCCTCCCAAATGGCTTGTCATTCGAGAGGGGAATATATTTTTGGTCCCGACCTGCTCGTTATGGGCGCGAAGTTTTAAATTCGGATATCCTTTAAAACAACTAACAATATTAGAATCTGGACTAAAAAGGGGAAACAACAAAATTACCTGCCCGAAGGAATCGGACGCGAGCGCAAAACGTGCCGGTGTCAAAACCACTGCCGAAAGGAATCGGAAACTAGAAAGCAGGGCGGTCTGTCATTTCCTCCGTATAGTCCCCCAGGTGGCGACTTCTCTTCTTACCACCAACACTTACTCATGTCCGACCGCCGAACGCACGGCATTCATCGACATTCATAACCATGGGAACGGACCTCTCCGGGCTGGAGCTTCACCCCGGACTGGATTCCAACATTCCACCTTTTTCCGATGCGGGAGAAGGAATGCAGACTGCGGCAACAAATTCGAGTGATGTTATCGAAGGCAGCGAAACAGCAGCAGGATGGGTGGGTCTAACTCAGGAAGGCTCATCTGCGGGTTCAGCAGCAGCGGCGGAGGGGAAGCAGCGAGCTACAGGCACGGTCCCAACCGCTCTTTCCAACCAGCCGCTCCCCCCACGCTTCCCGCCTCAGGCGCCGTCCGTTATGGAAGAGGTAATCCGCGCATGGGGCGCCGTGAGAACCGCCGCAGCAGGCGCCGCAGCTGCCGCTACAAGCGCGGTCATCCGCGCTCCCGCCACTGCTGCCGCTGCTCCTCCGCGGATCCCGCCTTCCGCAGCGCCTTCGCTCTCCGCCATGGCGCCGCCCGACGTGCCTCCCGCGCTGATCGCGGTGATTGAAAAGGCTCTGCAGGAGGTGGCGAGGGGTGCGAAGGGAGAAGGGAGGGACGGAGGGACGGAGAGGCAGAGGGGGGGAAAAGGGGTGTTGCAGCTGCAGCGACTGGTGGCCGGGATGTGCCGATTGGAGGGGATTCGCGTGGTGGGGGGGGGAGACGCAGAGGCGCGGAGTGCAGGCGGAAAGGACGAGGCGGAGACAAACGAGAGTGAGGGAGTGGGGAAGGGCGCGGAGGGAGGGAGTGATGCAGGTGCAGTGGGGGCGGAGGAACGAGACGCAGCTGCTGCGGTGGTGGTGGCAACCCTTCTGGCCATCATGGGGTGCACGCACGAGGGGGGCGACGTGCAGGAGGCGGACGGCAGTGGCGAGAGCAGGGGCACGGAGCGGCGGAGGAATGGCAAGGTGCCTGGGCCTGTCATCATGATGTGTGCCGAGGCCGCTGTGCTGGCCGCCGCGCTGCTGCCGTGGCTGCCATGCCATGACTGCCGCCCGCCTGGGGTCACCGCCAGTGGAACAGTGAGTGATGCGGCAGCGAGGGAAGCAGCAGCAGAGAGAGGAGATGGCGAGGAGAGTGCCAAGACAGAGGCAGGCGCAGCGGCAGGGGCAGCTGGATCGGGAACAGGTGCAAGGTGGGCAGCAGGGGCAGTGGTGGCAAGTGGGAGGTCCCCGCGCACGCGCGTGGCACGAGTGCTGGCCACGGCGCTCTCCTCCTGCACGCGCAACCGTGCCATGTGCGCTGCCGCTCGCCTCACCTCCTCCCTCCTCGCCTCCCTCCGCATCATCCTCCTGGGCGGCGTGCGGGCCAATGGGTCGCTGCCACCTGGTGCTGCCCTGCTGGATGAAGCACCGTTGCCGGTGGAGCCGAATGGGAGCAGCGCAAGGGAGGGTGCGGGCGAGGGTGGTGCTGCGCTGTATGGTGCAGCTGAGGCTGCGTGGGATGCTCGGCCTGTGCTGGCGGCGCTGCAGTCTCTGGCGTCTCACTCCGTGTCCGTGGGCGAGCTGCGCCAGTGGATGGCGTCCGTTGTTGCTCTCACCGCCTCTCCCCCCGCTGCCAGCACCCCACCTGCCTCCATTGCATCAACAGGAACAGGGGCAGCCGGGATGGCAGGGGGAGGAGGAGGCGGAGAGAAGGGGGTAAGAGGCGGAGCAGGAGGAGGGGAGTGGGTGAGGCAAGAGAGGGCGGGTGCGCTGCTGGATGCGCTGCAGGGGGCGATGGAGGGGGAGGAGGTGAGGGCGCCCGCATACACCTTCGAGCTGGACGGCGAGAGCTCAGGGCTGCTGGGGCCCGGCGACAGCAAGTGGCCGTTCGGCAACGGGTATGCGTTTGCGACGTGGATCTACGTGGAGTCCTTCTACGACACCGAGAGCTCCGCTGTGGGCGCCGCTGCCATGGCCGCCGCCATCGCTGCCGCCGCCACCGCCAAGGTCGGCCGCACCTCTGCGGTCTCCGCTGCTGCAGCCGCGAGCGCACTGGCAGGGGAGGGGCTGATGCACATGCCGCGGCTGTACAGCTTCCTGACGGCAGAGAGCGAGGGCGTGGAGGCGTACTTCCACCGCGAGTACCTCATTGTCGAGTCCTCCACGCACCGCGGCTCCAAGAGCACCTTCCACTTCTCGCACGCGTTTGAGGCGCAGCGCTGGTACTTCATAGGGCTGGAGCACGTGTTCAAGCCGTCGCTGCTGGGCAAGGCGGAGTGCCACATGCGGCTGTACGTGGACGGGCGCCTCACAGAGTCCCTCCCGCTCGACCTCCCGCGCATCTCCCGCCCGCTCGGCTTCCTGTGCATCGGCACCAACCCGCCCGCCGCCATGGCGGGGCTGCAGCGGCGGCGCAAGCAGTGCCCGCTGTTTGCGGAGGTGGGGCCCGTGTACATCTTCAAGGAGCCCATCGGCGCCGAGCGCATGATGCGCCTCGCCGCGCGCGGCGGGGACCACCTGCCGTGCTTTGGCGCGGGGGCGGGCGTGCCGGCGCTGGTGAGCAGCGACCAGCTCATGCTGGCAGCCGATGATGCATACAGCCTCGACTCCGACCTCGCCCCCCGCCTGCACCTGCTCTACCACCCGCGCCTCCTGCTCGGTCGATTCTGTCCGGACGCCTCCCCTGCCAGTGCTGCCGGGGTGCACAGGCGGCCGGCTGAAGTGCTGGGGCATGTGCATGTGGCGGCCAGGCACCGAGTGCCGGAGGCCATCTGGCAGGCGGGGCAGGGGGGGGCCGCTGGCGCTGCTCACTCTCGCCATTCACGCCGTGCACCCGGACTCGTTCCTCCCGCTGCCGCTGCCTCTCTCTGCGGATCCGCCTGCTGCAGTGGCTGCAGCGACGCTGCTGCCGCGTGTGCTGGGGCTGGTGGGGCGGGCGATGCGGCACGGCATGAACAGGGAGGAGATCAGGGGAGGGGCTCCCGCCATGCTGGCGCTCATGCTCGCATATGGGCTCAGTACGTGCGCCCAAGGGGGGGTGGCGGGTGGTGCTGGGGCGGGGGGTGGTAACAGTGCGGACAAGGAGGTGAGTGAGCAGCAGGGTGCAGCGGTGGCGGTGCGTGGCACGGATGAGGATGACCCGCCGTACGACAACCAGCTGGCGGCGGCAGCTGCAGCACTCACCATGGCACCACGCTTCGGTGACCCGTTAAAGCCGCACCTCTTCCTGCACCTGCTGCTGCACCTGCCCCTGTGGGCGTCGTGCCCCCTGGCTGTGCAGCAGCAGGTGCTGTCGTCGCTGGCCGCCGTTGCAGTGCGCGAGCAGCACACGCTGAGAGCAGCAGGCGCGCTGCCCGTGCTGCTGGATGGGTGCCGGCGCTGCTACTGGGTGCAGCTGGAAGCCATGTCCCTGCCCCTCGGCCCCGCCTCCTCTCGCTCTGCCACTCCGTTGTCAATGAAGAGCCCGGGGGCACAAGAGACTGGAGGAGCAGAGGAGGAGGGGGAGGTGGTGGCGGGGCAGCATGCGCGGATGGGCGAGGTGAATGCGCTGGTGGATGCCGTGATGGGCGTGCTGGAGCTGCTGCTCGCCACCAGCTCTGCCCCCGCCATGGCGGCTGACATGCGCACACTCGTTGCCTTCCTGCTCGACTGCCCACACCCCAACCAGGTCAAACCTCAACTCTCAACCCTGAACCTCAAACCTCAACTCTCAACCCTGAACCTCAAACCTCAACTCTCAACCCTGAACCTCAAACCTCAACTCTCAACCCTGAACCTCAAACCTCAACTCTCAACCCTGAACCTCAAACCTCAACTCTCAACCCTCAACCTCTCAAACCGGAAGCCTACTCTTGCGATGCCATGCCCTGTGTCCCTGTGCTCTCACAACACACTGCCCTTCCGTCCACTCCGTTTGCATGCCATCATGCCTCACTCACTTACCGCCTCGTGTCCTCTTCCTCTTTCTTCTTAGCGTTTGTGTCCCTGCTTCCTCTCCCCCTGATGCGCTCTGGCAGGTGGTGCGAGTGCTGCTGCTGGTGTACCGCCTCCTATCCCACCCCAACGCCGCGAGAGCAGCCGGCTTCTCCGTGCAGTTCCTGGCAGCGGGCGGCGCCCACATGCTGCTGGCGCTGCTGCTAAGGGAGAGCCAGTGGGGCGACGCGTGTCCCCTGCTCTTCCCCCCCGTGCCTTGTAAGGCCCAGGCGGCCCGTGTGAAGGAGGTGGTGGGGGAAGAGAAGGGCGATGGTGGGGTGACGGTTGGAGGAGTGAAGGGTAAGGATGGAGGTGTGGCGGAGGACGCGGCCAGCAGTAGTGTGGAGGGCAGTGCAGGCACCGGGGGCGACGGTGCTGATAGTGCTGCTGTGGAGGGTGGAGATTCCACAGACAAGGAAGGTGCTCGATCAGCCGCAGAAGCAGCAGGCATGGCAGCAAGCACAACAACTGAAGCAGAAGCAGCAGATGCGAGTGGGTGTGGGGGAAAAGGGCCGAGTGCAGAGCTGAAGGTGGACGTGCCACGAGGCAGCAGCAACAGCACCACTTCTCAGGCGCTCTCCCCCCAAAGCACCCACCCCGAACCCCGCCACCCCCGCCGCCTCCACCCCCGCCTCCTGGCAAGCCTTCTTCGACCCCTTTGGCACCCGGGCCGATTCCCCAGAGGCAGAAGCGAAAGCAGCGGATCGGCAGACAGCAGCTGCTGGCAGCAGCGGCGAGGAGGGGGCGAAGGAGACACGAGCAGGGGGGACGGACGGGGAGGCAGCAGAGGAGGCGAAGGAGGAGAGGGAGGAGCGGATCCCTGAGCCGCGAACGGGGGTGGACGTGGCTGGTGAGATCCTGAGGAAGCTTCAGCAGCGAGGGCTGTTCCAAGCGTCGCACATGAGCATTCTCGCCCCGGGACCCGCCGGGAACAGCGTCACAGTGGCCCCCTCTGTGTGCATCCGGCAGCCCTTGGGCAGCAGCAGAGCAGCAGGCGCCAAGGGCTCTCACGGGCTCTCAGGGGATGTGATGGTGGCAGCAGCCGCGCTCTCCCTCTCTGGCAGTGGCACGCGCACTGGCAGTGGGCGCCGCCTCGCCTCCTCCGCTTATGGCGAGCAGTCCTTGCTCGCACCGAAGTCAAACGACTTCCCCCTCACGGACGGCCCAGATGGGATCTTCCTCGCAGTGGTGTCGATCCTAGGGCTGTTAGCGGAGGGAGGGTACATTCGGCTCAGCAGCCCGGCTGTGCTGGGGCTGGTGCCGGGGGGGGCGGGAGCAGGGCTGGGGTCGGTGGTGGCGGATAGAGGGGTGGGGGAGCGCAATAACGTGGGGGCGTGGGCGGTGTACGGCGTGCAGAGGGCGCTGCAGCTGGCGCCTGACAGGCTGCTCACGCCTGCCGTGTACCATGCCATCATGACCGCCGTGCTGCGCTGCGAGGTGAGACGCATGCGAGGTGCCAGCCTGGCATTTCTTCCCGCAAGAGGCTGCTCACGCCTGCTGTGTACCATGTGCTCTTTGACTGCTGTGCTGCGATGAGAGGTGAGGATGCGTGGTGTGGTGACTGACTGGTGAGGCGAGCTGAGGGATGTCACGAGGCGCAAGGGAAGAATGGAACGAGAGCATGTGTTTGTCCTCAACTGACTCTCACTGCATCACTGTCCTTAATCTCCGTCTCATTCGTTTGCTATCATTCTTTCTCTCACCCCCATTGGTTCTCCCCCCTCTTGTGTTCCGCCCTCCATCCTCCCATGCATTTCCCACTCATCGCATGCATTCGCCCCTGCCCGCTTCCCTGCAGTCATCCACATCAGCGCAAGCAGCTGCCAGCACCACCAACGCCAGTGCGGGCGAGGCTGCCACAGCAGCAGCAGGGCGGAGGGTGCTCCCACCCGACACGGTCTTGGCGGAGTCGCAGCTGCAGCTGCTGCTGGCGCTGCTCAGAGCGCTGCCCTCTGCCTCTCCTCGCACGCAACTCGCCATTCTGCAGGCAAGCCTTTTCCCCCTTGCCCTCCCATGCTCTCTCCATGCACTCCACATGCTCTTTCTATTCTTTACTCCAATCACATCTGCTCCCTCTGCCTGCCCATACTGCTCCCCACATCAGATGTTGCTGCTGTGCCTCTGCTTGTGAATCGCCTCAATAGGTCCTCCCCTCCAACCATGCTCACCGCACCCCACCCACCCACAGGACGTGCTGCTGCTGGTGTCGCTGAGTGGCAGCAACCGCCGCCAGCTGTCATGCCTGCCAGAGTGGCCCGAGTGGCTTCTCGAGATCCTGCTGGACAACCTCGAGGTGAGATCCTGCTAGACAACCTCGAGGTGAGATCCTGCTAGACAACCTCGAGGTGAGATCCTGCTGGACAACCTCGAGGTGAGTGGGTCACGTCCACGTGAGCTCACATGTACAGTTGAGCTGCACATGCGGATATGCCACTCCTGCACAGCTGCACCATCCGTCCCTTGCACTCCCTTCTTGCCCGTCTCCCATCTTCCCTTTTCCCTCATCTACTTGTCTCCCATCTTCCCTTTTCCCTCATCTACTTGTCTCCCATCTTCCCTTTTCCCTCATCTACTTGTCTCCCATCTTCCCTTTTCCCTCATCTACTTGTCTCCCATCTTCCCTTTTCCCTCATCTACTTGTCTCCCATCTTCCCTTTTCCCTCATCTACTTGTCCTTCTCACCGCTCCTTCTCACCTCTGCTTGTCTTCTGCGCTGCAGCGACTGCCTGCTGGCGCCTGCTCCATCAGCAGCACTGAAGCTGCCTCTGCTGCGCACGGGAAGCAGCACGCGGCAGGGCAAGGCAATGAGACACCCACGGCCGCTGCAAGTGGCACGGCAGGGGGAGGGGAGGGCGGGGAGGGGCGTGTGGAGGAGGCAGGTGCAGGTGGTGATGGTGATGGCAGTGGCGGGGCGGTTGACGATAGTGGTGGTAGCAGAGGAGGGGGGTTGAGAGAGGAGCAGCGGGAGCGCGTGGATGTGAACGAGATGATCTTCTCCTTCCTGGGCACCGTGCTCCAACACTGCATGACGTTCAAGCATGGCTGGAAGGTGACCCGCCTGTGCGCTGCAGTCTGTGAACACAAGAAACTGCTGCCCAGCTGCTGCCTCCCCTGCCACCTGCACGTCACTCTCCATGCCATTGTGCTCGCCCTTACCTTCTCACTCTCTCCGTCACGCTCCCCCTCGTCCTCATCGCCATAGACCCATATTCTAACCTCTCTCTCCGCATTCCCGTTTTCCCATCATGCCATCATGCCACCATGCCATCATGCCATCATGCCACCATGCCATCATGCCATCATGCCATCATGCCACCATGCCATCATGCCACCATGCCACCATGCCATCATGCCATCATGCCACCATGCCACCATGCCATCATGCCATCATGCCACCATGCCACCATGCCATCATGCCACCATGCCATCATGCCATCATGCCACCATGCCACCATGCCATCATGCCATCATGCCATCATGCCACCATGCCATCATGCCACCATGCCATCATGCCACCATGCCATCATGCCACCATGCCACCACGCCATCATGCCATCATGCCACCATGCCATCATGCCACCATGCCACCATGCCACCATGCCATCATGCCACCATGCCATCATGCCATCATGCCACCATGCCACCATGCCACCATGCCATCATGCCATCATGCCATCATGCCACCATGCCATCATGCCATCATGCCACCATGCCACCATGCCATCATGCCATCATGCCACCATGCCATCATGCCACCATGCCATCATGCCATCATGCCACCATGCCACCATGCCATCATGCCATCATGCCATCATGCCACCATGCCATCATGCCACCATGCCATCATGCCATCATGCCACCATGCCACCATGCCATCATGCCACCATGCCATCATGCTATCATGCCACCATGCCACCATGCCATCATGACATCATGCCATCATGCCACCATGCCACCATGCCATCATGCCATCATGCCATCATGCCATCATGCCACCATGCCACCATGCCATCATGCCATCATGCCACCATGCCATCATGCCACCATGCCATCATGCCATCATGCCACCATGCCACCATGCCATCATGCCATCATGCCACCATGCCACCATGCCACCATGCCATCATGCCATCATGCCACCATGCCACCATGCCATCATGCCATCATGCCACCATGCCATCATGCCACCATGCCATCATGCCATCATGGCATGTGCAGGAGCTAGAGGCCACATTCCATTGCCTTGAGTGGATGGCTCTCATTGGTGGATCCAGCATCGGCCCCGAGCGAGTCAAGTGAGTCAAATCAGCGAGTCAAGTGAGTCAACCAGCAAGTCAATCCATTGGTCTTCACTTACTCAACTCCGTAGCCGTGCTCATCAAGTGAGCAACTCACGGGACCGAGGGAGTTGAAGGAAGCTATCATTTAAGCAACTCTCGCCACCCAGTGGGTGCTTCACCTGCTCAACTGCACTGCTTCACTTTTTTGACAGGCGCGAGGCCATTGCCAAGGCGCCTCAACATATAACGCTTCCCATATCAATTTCCCCCCACTCTGCCGGCGGGTGCATGTGTGTGTGTGTGTGTGTGAGTGTGTGTGAGCGTGTGTGTGTGTGTGTGTGTGTGTGTGTGTGTGTGTCTGTGCGTGGTCACCTCAGGCGAGAGGAGGGCATGGCAACGGTGAAGCGGCGCCTGCTGCATGGCGTCATGGACTTCACTGCCGCCCACCTGCGCCTGCAGGTCATATCTCACTCTATTATTCCCCATCTCTTCTTCCTTTCCGACCACTGTAATCCCTCGTTCTCTTCTCCCTCTCACCTAGCCCCTGCCCCATCGCCCACCCCTTATCCTGCCCACCCACACCACCACCGCCAAGCAGGCTCAAGTGGAGGCCACAGCAGCAGCGGCAGCAGCGGCAGCAGCGGCAGCAGCAGAGGCAGCAGCGCTGGCATCGCCTCTCCCCATAGACATCCCCATCTCGCCCACGCCCACCTCCCCACACGCGCGCGCTCCCGACCCGCTGCTCACGTCGCCCACGTCGGCATGGCTGCTGGAGAACGCGGTGGCGCTGCTGATGCTGCTCGAGGACTTCCTGCGCTTCCACGCCGCCGCCCGCATCGCCCCTCGCCCTGCCCACCGTTGCCTTCGATGCCGATGACACCCTCCCCGGCTCCCGCCCTGCCGCCTGGCACGACGCCCCTGACTCCCCCACTGGAGCCTCCGTTGCTGCGGGAGTGGGGTCTGTGCTGCCAGGCACGACGGCCACAGCAGCGGCGGCGGCAGCAGCAGGGTTGATGCCGCTGGCGGCGCAGCTGTCCAATCCGTTGCTCTCCGCAGGCTCCTCCTCGCGGCGCCGCAGCCCCACTGATCTGCTCACTCTCGAGATGCTCACGCTCATGGCGGATAATGCGGGCCAGCTCACTGCCCCCATGCTGGACCGCATAACTGCCTCCACCAGTGCAGAGCCCTTTGAGGGCGTGCGCTGCGCCCTGCCGACTTACGGGTCTATTTCCCAGGAGTTACCCCTCAGTTGGGGGCACAGGAGCAAGCTGTGGTATGGCGTGGCGGTGCCGCCCGAGGGGAAGGGGGGACCGGGGTGGGGCGGCGGGCGGGCGGCGTGGGCGGCAGCAGTGGAGATTGACCCGGTGACGGGGCGGTGGCAGGACCTGCCTCTTGTGGTGAAGGCTGTGAGCATGCTGCGATCCATGCTGCTGGACGAAGGGAAGGTGGGGCAGGGGGGGCGAGAAGCAGGGGGGAAAGGGAGGTGCAGGGGCGGCGGAAGGGGTGTTGGCGGTGGTGGGGGGGATAGCGAACATGCTGGGAGGGGGGAGTGCGGGGGGCGTGTTGAACCGCGCGAGTCAGTTGCTCCTGGAGGACGACCAGACGCTGCTGACTGTCATCCGCCTCGTGGCCGTGGCTGCCAGGGAGCTCAGTGACGTGGTGGACGTGGACCAGGGGGGGGGACGGGGCAGCACCACATGCAAAGGAGGGGCGAGTAGATGGGGCGGGCGGGGGAGGGATGGCGTGGGAGCGAGGTGAGATGGAGGGCATCTCTCCTGGCGTTCTCAGCTCGCTGCTCTGGCGGTACGTGCACGGCAGCCATGACATGCGCATGCTCATCTCTTGATCGTTGCTATGTGCCGTGCACTCCCACCTCACCATGTTGCTATGTGCCGTGCACTCCCACCTCACCATGTTGCTATGTGCCGTGCACATCCCACCTCACCATATTGCTATGTGCCGTGCACTCCCACCTCACCATGTTGCTATGTGCCGTGCACTCCCACCTCACCATGTTGCTATGTGCCGTGCACTCCCACCTCACCATGTTGCTATGTGCCGTGCACTCCCACCTCACCATGTTGCTATGTGCCGTGCACTCCCACCGCACCATGTTGCTATGTGCCGTGCACTCCCACCTCACCATGTTGCTATGTGCCGTGCACTCCCACCTCACCATGTTGCTATGTGCCGTGCACTCCCACCTCACCATGTTGCTATGTGCCGTGCACTCCCACCTCACCATGTTGCTATGTGCCGTGCACTCCCACCTCACCATGTTGCTATGTGCCGTGCACTCCCACCTCACCATGTTGCTATGTGCCGTGCACTCCCACCTCACCATGTTGCTATGTGCCGTGCACTCCCACCGCACCATGTTGCTATGTGCCGTGCACTCCCACCCACCGCACCGCACCATGCTGTCTCCCGTCCCTCCCTCCCACCAATCTGCACTCTCACACTTCCCTCTTCTGCTCGTCTCGCCCCCCTGCCTCCGTCCTGCAGTGCTGTGCTGCCACTGCTCACAACAGCGTCACTTGATGCTCGCAAGCAGTGCGCCCTCGCAGCATCTGCCGTCCTGCACACAGAGGTCAGTCGCACACAGAGGTCAGTCGCACACAGAGGTCAGTCGCACACAGAGGTCAGTCGCACACAGAGGTCAGTCGCACACAGAGGTCAGTCGCACACAGAGGTCACTCGCACACAGAGGTCAGTCGCACACAGAGGTCAGTCGCACACAGAGGTCACTCGCACGTTCTGAACCCGTCCCTCATCTCGTGCTGCTTGCCCTCCTCGCACCCCACTTGTGTCAAGTCTTGCCCTCCTCGCACCCCACTTGTCTCTACTCTTGCTACAACCATCCCACTGCCTCCGCATCCCAACCCACCTGCAAACCCCCACACCCCCCTTCTTCTCTCTCCTCTCCCCCACTCGCCTCTACCTGCCGCGCGCCCATCAGGCCATCCACGCCATAGCGCCATCGCGCGCCATCCTGCGCCCGGCCCTCATCACAGTGGTGCAGCCGCCCCTGGCAGCGCTGCTGCGCAAGTGGCGCTCGGCCTTTGCCTTCATCCCGCACCTCACAGACTTCGAGGGTCACAACCCCTTGTTGAGGGATGATGACCGCGCGCTTGCCACTGATGCTGCACCCCATGAGGTGGGTCGTCCTTCTCACCTTCTCAGGTTCTTCACGTTTTTGGTCAATTATAAAGGTTTAGGGTTCTTGTAACCGACGCCGCAGCAGACGAGGTGAGTGCCTCGCGCCTTCCCAGGGTCGCGCACTGCCAGCTGAGCACTGCCAGCTGAGCACTGCAAAAAAAAAAAAAAAAAAAAAAAAAAAAAAAAAAAAAAAAAAAAAAAAAAAAAAAAAAAAAAAAAAAATATTTTTCCTGCTTTCCCAACATTTGCATTTCCCCCTTTCCATCCAAATCCCAACGCAATTCTGTCCCTTGCACCTCCTCACCCCCCCAGGCATCACTGGCGCTGCTGCAAGTGATCTGGGTGGCAGCCTTGGCGTCCCCCCCTGCCTCCGCGGCCCTGGCAGCCATGGCTGCTGCTGCTGGCCCCGGCTCTGTTCCCCCCCGCACCACCCTCACCTCCTCCTCCTCCGCCTCCTCCCTCTCCGCCCTCTCCTCCGCTCCTGTCACGCGCACGTCTACCTACCCTAGCGCCACCCCACCCACAGGCAGCACCATCCTTGCTGCCTCTGCCAGTCACGCACCTGGGACTGCCAGTAGCACTTCTGCTTCTGTCACCCGCACTAGCAGTCATCACCTGCCGCCCGGCCAGCCTGGCGCCAGCTCAGCAGTCAGCCGGCGCATGTCTCAACGCAGCGGCATGACTAAAACGGGGGGAGGGAGGCAGGAGGGGGAGCGGGAGGGGGCAACATCGTCCCAGCGGCGCATGAACGGCGACAAGGACCGTGCGCAGAGGTGGAGCCTGGGGGAGGCCGTGGAGAAGGCGTGGGACTGCAGTCGGGGCATCCCTGTCTCTGCTGCCACTCGCACCAGTGCCGGTGCTGCTGCTGCTGCTGGTGTTGGAGGGGTGGAAGGGAGGGAGGGAGGGGCAGCAGCGGCGGGGGCAGAGGAAGGGGGGAATGGCACGGCGCTGGGTCCCACGCTGGGCGGGCTGCAGCAGCACCTCGATGGCATGCGCGGCCTCATTCGCGCTCAGGTGCTCATCCCTACCCTCAGGTGCGAGTCCCTACCCTCAGGTGCGAGTCCCTACCCTCAGGTGCGAGTCCCTACCCTCAGGTGCGAGTCCCTACCCTCAGGTGCGAGTCCCTACCCTCAGGTGCGAGTCCCTACCCTCATACAAGTGATGCAGTAAACACTTCCTCACCCTCATCTCAAAATTTATGTATGCACAAGGACAAGGGGAGAGAGAAGGCTCAGGTGGAGAGATGATGAATGCGGGTGCTGTATTCGCCGTTTCCTCCGTGCACCTCTTCCCTTCACCTCTCCCTTGTGCACTGGTTAGGTCACACAGGGTGACATGGGAGCCGCAACGACACACAGGAGCGCGTGCACTGCACACACGCATTGGTCTCTTTCCTTGTGCCATCTCCCCCCTCCCATGTGTGCAGAGGCTGCGGAGGGTGAAGATCGAGACGCAGATGGCGCGCGCGCACACAGCTGGCATGCGCATGTGGCGCTCCCTCATTCGCCAGCTCCTCGAGTCAGGGCTGCTCGTGGGCCTCCCTGGCAGTTACCACGAGTTGAAGCAGCGCCGGGTGAGACAGGGGCGAGGGGTGGGGCAGTGTCAAGCACGTACCACAGTGGCATGGCATGGACGCCAAGTTCCTGAAAAAGAAACCCACGTCGTTGAAGAAACTAGATGCTTTTGGAAGCCTCCAGCCTCCAGGAGCATCAGCACGTGCTGCCGCCTGCTATGAACCGCCTCCTCTTCCCATCCAAACCCAGTGCCTGCATCCCTCTAACCATGTGCCCCGCCCCTTTCGCCTCTCTCCTCCCTCTCTCTCCCTCTCCACCAAACCCCAACACATCACTGTGGTGTGGAACATGCGTGGCCCCCATCCCATGCGCGCAGGTGTTTTGGAAGCTGGACCGCGTGGAGAGCAGCGCGCGCATGAGGCGCCGCATGGTGCGCAACTACCGCGGCTCCGACTGCCACGGCCTCGCTGCTGACTTCCGCCCCCCCACTCACGACCCCCCGCCCGCTGCCAAGCGCGCACGCTCCCAGGGGGACACGGATGGGGTGGAGAGGGGGGGGGGTGGCAGGGGCGGTGGGCCTGCAGGAGGGGGGGGATGTGGGGAAGACACGAGAGGAGGATGGGGAGGGAGAGGGGGCTGCAGTGGGAGGAGGGGCGGGTAGTGAGGGTGTGGGTGTGGATGGGGAGGGGAAGGATGAGGCGAAGGAAGGGGTGGCGGAGGGGAGTGGCGTAGGGGATGTGGAGGGGGTGGGAGGGGCCATAGTGGAAGACGCATCGGGGCTGCTGGGCGGCTGCCTGCCAGCCCCTGTGAAAGACTTCGATGCTCCCGTGCTGATGAGCGCGGATGAGGAGGGACCGCAAGGGGAGGTCGAGACAGACAGACGGGAGGGGGAGGGTGGAGAAGGTGAGGAGACGGAGGGGGCACGAGGTGCAGCAGAGGGGGATGGTGAAGGCCGGACAGTAGCAGAGGGAGGTGAAGTGGGGGGTGCTGCTGTGGAGCATGCGGTGCTGGAAGGTGGTGTGAAGCACATGCCAGGTGCCGATGATACTCTGGGGGCGAACGATGCTGAGTCACGACCAACGGCATCTGCTGCTGAGCCACGACCAACGGCATCTGATGCTGAGTCAGACGCAAAGGGTGGTGACTCATCAGAAGCAAGAGTGTCGCCAGTCGAGGAGGGGACGAGTGCAGCAGGGGAGGAGGGTGGAGATGGAGGAGGCAGCAAGCAGGCAGAGGGAGGCGAGGTGGCTTCTGAACCAACAAGCCACGCAGCTTCAGCCTCCTCGCCTGAGCCTCCCTCCACCACCACCACCACCGCCACCGCCAGCAGCACCGCCACCCACCACCAGCCACCACCACCGCCACCACCACCGCCAGCAGCACTAGTGCCAGCAGTGGCACTGCTGGTCCCTGCACTGCTGCTGCTCCTGCTTCTACTGCCACCACCACCACTACCTCCTCTACTGCCACAGCACCCCAGGAAGCCCTGGCAGCGTCGGCAGTGGCAGCAGTGGCGTTGGCAGCAGGCGAGCAGCCGGGGCTGTCAGCAGTGGTGGGCAGCAGCGAGGTGGCGGCAGAGGTGGCGGTGGGGGAGAGGGAGCGAGTGGTGGTGGAGGTGCCGGCCATGATGGTGCTGCCCCTTCAAGTCCTCAACGGCCGCCTCCTCGTCACTGCCTCTCGCTTGCTCTTCCTGGTTGACCCCCTCCGTGCATTTCAAGGAGAGCGCGCCGGGCGACCAGGGGACGGACGGGGGTGGAGGGGGAAGGGCGGAGGGCGAGGAGGGTGGGGGGGGGAAGAAGGCGCGGGATAGAGTGTGGCGGCTGACATCCGTGAGGGAGGTGCTCAGCAGGCGGTGAGTGAATGCTCAGCAGGCGGTGAGTGAATGCTCAGCAGGCGGTGAGTGAATGCTCAGCAGGCGGTGAGTGAATGCTCAGCAGGCGGTGAGTGAATGCTCAGCAGGCGGTGAGTGAATGCTCAGCAGGCGGTGAGTGAATGCCGGGACTTGAGTTGAGCATCCCACTGCTCCCACTGTTTTGTACTAATGTGTGTGTGCGTGTGTCCGTGTGCGTGTGTGCGAGCATGTGCGTGTGCGTGTGCGTGCGTGCGTGCGTGCGTGCGTGCGTGTTTCTCTGCTTCTGCTTTCCGTGTTTTCCATTCGACTCATTTTTCAGTAACTTTCTGTTCAGGAAGTCGTCTCATGTTTGCTGGCCATGCCTTGCTGCGTCCGCCCTCTGCCTTCCCTTGTCCCCTCCCCCCGGCATCAGCTACCTGCTGCGGCGCTCGGCCCTGGAGGTGTTCATGATCGACCGCTCCAACTTCTTCTTCAACTTTGAGGTGCGCGCAAGGGGAAGGGGGAGGAGGGGGGGCACACACGGACATGGGTTCGGCAAGGATGTTTCACACGAGCTGGGGGTTGAGAAGAGGAGAGAGCACATCTCCCTCCCACAAATCCTCTTCCATATGCCGGACCAATCCTCATGCTTACGCATGGGTGAAAAGACCTCTCGCCTCATGCGTGTGCCTGCCTCTGCCTCTTGTGCCCCCCACCGCCCTTGACATGACAGGGCCCGGAGGAGCGGCTACGCGTGCACCGAGCCATCCAGCATGCCAACCCACCGCACCTGCAGCATCACTTCTCCCCCACTCTGGTGCGCCCTCCTCTCCTCACGCCCACGCCCCCCTGCACCTGTGCACGCCCTTTGTACGTCGTAACCTCGCCACACATTGTACCCTTACCACTCTTACTGCCCCAGATGACATGGTATGGACATGCTCTTGCCTGCGTGTATGGACATGCTCTTGCCTGCGTGTATGGACATGCTCTTGCCTGCGTGTATGGACATGCTCTTGCCTGCGTGTACGGACATGCTCTCGGCTGCGTATACTGGTGCAAGAGTGACCGCTTTGTTGCCATGTGTGCGTGCCTTGGTACCCCCCTGCGCGCCCTCACCAGCGCCCGGAGAAGATGCTTGAGAGGCTACCGCTCACTGAGAGATGGCTCCGCAGGGAGGTGAGCTGCCAGGGGACACGAATGGTGGTTGTACGGACACCAGAGCCAGGGGAGAGGGATGGTGGTTGTACGGACAGCAGAGCCAGGGGAGAGGGATGGTGGTTGTATGGACAGCAGAGCCAGGGGAGAGGGATGGTGGTTGTACGGACAGCAGAGCCAGGGGAGAGGGATGGTGGTTGTACGGACAGCAGAGCCAGGGGAGAGGGATGGTGGTTGTACGGACAGCAGAGCCAGGGGAGAGGGATGGTGGTTGTACGGACAGCAGAGCCAGGGGAGAGGGATGGTGGTTGTACGGACAGCAGAGCCAGGGGATTGCCATGTGTTGCTGTTTGCCCCCTTGTCTCACAACCTTGCTTCCATCCGCTCATCGCTGCTCGTCATATCACCAGCGTTGACCATTTCATTCACCTCAACGCTCTTACCAGCTGATCCCATTGTTTTCTTGTTGCCATGTCGTTCCCCTCCCCGCGTGTGCTCGGGTCGCGCCGTTTATCAGATCACCAACTTCGACTACCTCATGCAGCTCAACACCCTGGCGGGCCGCACCTTCAACGATGTCACCCAGGTAACGATGTCACCCAGGTAACGATGTCACCCAGGTAACGATGTCACCCAGGTAACGATGTCACCCAGGTAACGATGTCACCCAGGTAACGACGTCACCCAGGTAACGATGTCACCCAGGTAACGACATCACCCAGGTAACGATGTCACCCAGGTAACGATGTCACCCAGGTAACAATGTCACCCAGGTAACGACGTCACCAGGTAACGATGCCACCCAGGTACGATGTCACCCAGGTAACGATGTCACCCAGGTAACGATGTCACCCAGGTAACGATGTCACCCAGGTAACGATGTCACCCAGGTAACGATGTCACCCAGGTAACGATGTCACCCAGGTAACGATGTCACCCAGGTAACGATGTCACCCAGGTAACGACGTCACCCAGGTAACGATGCCACCCGGGTAACGACGTCACCCAGGTAACGATGTCACCCAGGTAACGATGTCACCCAGGTAACGATGTCACCCAGGTAACTCCAATCCAACCCCGTCATTCACCTCAATGTGCCATTTCCATGGATTGCTTCACATTTCCAACCTTGCTGTGGTGACCAGCACATTCCAGTGCTTGCTTGCTTTCCTTCCCGTTAACTACATCTCCTCATGTCATGCTCTTTCCTCCCGCCCTCTCCTCCCTTCCCTTCCTCCCCTTCCTCCCCTTCCTCCCCTTCTCACCACACCCATCGTCTCTCGTCCTGCCAGTACCCCCCGTCTTCCCCTGGGTAATTCAGGACTATACCTCAAAGGAGCTCGACCTCACCAACCCAGCCACCTTCAGAGACCTCTCCAAGGTGCCTCGTCCTTTCTCCTCCAAATACCTTCTTCTTTACTTCACATACACATCTAAATGCCTTCAGTATTCATACTCTTCTAGCTCCACTCTCTTTCAAATCCCACCTCGTGTTCTTTCACCTTGCCTTTTCACCCAAGTTCCCACACATCCCCAACACACCTCTCCCCGCCCCCCTCCCTCGCGAGTGCAGCCGGTGGGGGCACTGGATGCGGGGCGGTTGGAGAAGTTTGTGGAGCGGTACCACAGCTTTGCGGACCCCATCATCCCCAAGTTCCACTACGGCTCGCACTACTCCAGCGCCGGCATTGTCAGTCGACCTCTTCCCTTCACACACAGTAACCTCTGCTCATGCGCGCTCACACAATAACCTCTGCTCATGCGCGCTCACACCGCCATGCGGCACTTCCAACTAGAATGACCCGTGCGCTCACCATCGCTCTTGCCCACCCCCTTGTCCCTCCAGGGGCGCACTATCTGCTGCCAGTCCAGCCCAAGGGGGGGCACTTCCACCACCCCGACCGCCTCGCCTCTTCCCCACCCCCTTCCCGCCCCACAACCCCCCGTTCCTCTTTCCCGCCCCACAACCCCCCGTTCGTCTTTCCCGCCCCACAACCCCCCGTTCCTCTTTCCCGCCCCACAACCCCCCGTTCCTCTTTCCCCTTCCCGCCCCACAACCCCCCGTTCCTCTTTCCCCTTCCCGCCCCACAACCCCCCGTTGGTCTGTCCGGAGGCGGCATTCAGGTGGCGCACTATCTGCTGCGAGTGGAGCCCTATACGTCTCTCGCCCTGGCCCTGCAGGGCGGGCAGTTTGACCACCCCGACCGCCTGTTCCTGGACGTGGCTGCCACGTGGCGGGGAGTCACCTCCGACATGAGCGATGTCAAGGAGCTGGTGAGGCATGTCAAGGAGCTGGTGAGGCATGTCAAGGAGCTGGTGAGAGCAGGGGGTGGGTAACATAGGGGCAATGTACCACGGCTGCCTGTACCACGGCTGCCTGTACCACGGCTGCCTGTAGCACGGCTGCCTGTAGCAGGGCATCCTAGTCATCTTGCGTGTGTGTGTGTGTGGTGCTCGCGACCCACTATCTGTTGTATCGTTGCGATGTGGGATGCCAGCAAGCAATCACCTCATCCCAACTCCCACTGACTCCCTCCCCTCTGTGCGCCGTGGCGCGGTGAGGGCAGATCCCGGAGTGGTTCTGTCTACCGGAGATGTTCACCAACATCAACGGGCTGCACCTCGGCTCCACGCAGAAGGGCGAGGTCATCGGTGAGCTCCCATCCCATCCACCCACCTGCTCACCTCTCATCTCCCTTCACACCTCCCTCTTCTTCTTTTTTCTCTTTTTTTTCGGTGGGGGTTGGTTTCTTCTGTTGTTTCCACACCACCTCCCTCTACCCTCCCCTCGCACCCCAACCTTCCGTCACCTCCCGTGTCCCCCTCCCCCACCCACCTCCTCCCCCCCTGC